CCGACTGACTCTATGTAACTGACACCACACGATGGTGACTCACGTCAAGTTACCAGACACGTGGCTTTCATCCAATGTATTTTGTATTTTGTGGGACCCATAATCTTTGCGTGTGTAATTAATGAAAATGTGTGTTTACTGAAATTGATAGCCACGTGGACATTTGTCGAGGTTCCTAACACCATGTATTTTTCTGGTTGAGGATTAGTTAGTTGGTCCATAATCAACCAAGTTAATCTTATTTAGTTTAATACTGTCTCCCTTTCATATATGAATGACTCAGTCCATTTTTTTACTATATTAAAAAATATAAAAAAATATTTTTATTCTAAATCTTTAATCATATATTAGAAGTGATAAAAATTTAATTAATTAAAGGATAAGAAAAATATAAAAAATTAAAATGAATTATTTATTTTAGAATACTATTTAATCATAAATGTTGTCATTGTATGAGACGGAGGGAGTATAGGTAGAGACAGCAAGATAAGAAAGGATAAGGGAGTTAACTTTTTTATATTTAGAGGATAAGAAAGTGAACTTGGAAGTAACATTTTATAACCTTTTTGGATGTTTTGTTAATTGTTAGTTAGTTGAAATATGCTAAATAAAATATTAAGGACGATTAAGTGAAATCTATAACTATATTATATACAAATGTATGTTAGTTTTTCTTTAACTTGTGAAATACAAATAATGAAAACCACGTATGCATGCAAGAGGCATTGGGCATTGTATGTTAGGTTTTGTTGAAATTAGTTAATGAATTTTTAATTTTTTAAGTTGTAATATTTATTAATAGCTTCTTGGATCGTGCAATAAAGAAAGTTATGATTTCTCATACTTTCTTTATGAAGTAGTAGAAGTACAGGGAAATTTGTTCTTTTTTTTATTATATGGAAAATTGTTTTTTTTCCCTTTTTATTGCAGTTGATTGAATTTTTTAAAAATATTGTGTGTTATGTGTTTGTTAAATGGATCGACTGAGGAGAATAGGTTTGAGTCAGATGTCCCAGGTTATTGTAGGGTAACTCGGGGTAATATCTGTCTTATTTTTCGTTTGACTTTCTAGGCTGTTTCTCATCAGGCCCTTTAGGCTGCTTCTTTTCAACCTCAATAAAGTTTCTCCAGTCCATAATCTCTCAAACAAAAGTCTGAGAAGGGTGAAGTGGTTCACTTAAATGAGCAACGATTTTAGTGATATTTTTGGTAATGAATCGTTTGAGAATTGCTTTGGACGAATCCCTTAAGTATTGTTTAGGGCACATGCATCATTTACTGTTTAGGTACATTGACTTTTGTATTGTATTGGAAAGGCACAATCGCTATGAACTGTTGACTATATGCATACAAACATCTTTAATTGTAGATGCTTTTACTTTACGACTGTCGGTGCACGCCTAAGTTAGAGCAATGATATCCTATGTGGCCTAGGCATTTTCCTTTATAATAATAAGGTTATGCCTAATTCCTGTTTACATTATTTTCAAATTCTCCTGCTTTTTCCAAATACAAACTTTTCTTTAAAATTTCTCCCAAGCTCGATTGTATCTTCCATTATTCATCCACTTAAGCTCAGGTATTAAGTTTTCCTTCTTTTTTTCCATCTTTTTTCTTCTGATAATGACAATTATTAGGGATTTAGACGAGAGTGACAATGTAGTTGAAACCCCACTGGTATATAGCTCACACAAATGTGAGAATATTGTATGAAAAATGCTAGATGAGCCAGTGAGATAGTTGATTACAAGCTTTTCAAAATAAGGATGTTTGGGAGTTATGAGAGTACCTTCGAATCTAGTAGTGATAACAACGTATTTTTCCTATCTACTTTTTCAAGAACTTTAAGATCACAAATGACATATTTCTCCTCCAAACGCCTTGAGGTTGAAGAATATGAGATCACCTTTACCACTAAGGAAAATATGGATTTCTTCTGTAAAGGCTATAACATGTCAAGAACGGGCGATGGGGCAGATGTAATTTTGGAGCCTTGTTCTGAAGATGAACGGGATAACATGGACGCCCCTCCTGGCACCTCAGACGAATTCTTCTACCCGTATATTCCCATCATTCATGAATTAGGGTGTTAGCTCCCTTCAATCTCTTTTGTTGAACATGCGACTCCATACAAAAGAGGGAGATGAATTATGGAAGTTGAAAAAATGATAGTTTAAAACAAAATTATCTTCTATATTAGAGTTTGAAAATATTTTAATAAAAATGTTTGAATATGCGGTGGAATTTAAGTGAAAAATAAAAGAGTTAAGAGAAGAGAGATAACACCAGAAATTTATATACGGATGATCTTATAGAAGTGGCATAATCCTCTCCCCAAGAACTAATCTTGAGATTATACTGTAATGCTTGAGAGCTTTTATAAGGTTAAGCCCACAAACTCCTTATACAAGGAAAAAAAATGAATTTTTAGGCTAACTTCCAACCAAACATCGAATAGAGGAATGAAACGGTTAGTCTTCACGCCAAACAATAATGCGTTACTCTTTTTAATCTTATAATTCAATTAGCTTATATCTTAATTTAAACAACTAATTGTATGATAACTTTGTTACCTCATGATCATCTTCTTCGTGAGATGCTTTCAAACAAACTTCGTCTTCTTCGAAAGAAGATTCGTCGAAGCTTCTACCAGAAGTTAATTCTTTGAGTTTTCTCCTTGAAGTTGATTCTATAACTATATTTCTCATTGAGGAATCCTTATCATTTCTTCTCTCAAATACTCCACTAGATGATACTTATTCATCATATTCTCCTATTGATGAAATTCCTCCATTTGATATTGAATTTTATGAAAATCATTCTACCATCGACTATTTTTCGAAGGAGATTGTTGGAGGTGACTTTTTTCACATGAGTTCTTTAGTAAAGTTAATAGAGATGCTTCTAGATTTGAACTCATTGCTTCATTAACTTCTCAACTATTTCTTCCTTTTTGGATTTTTCCTAAAAGTTGTAAACATCACATCACTAGATTTAAGAATTGGATCATGTTTTTTAGTTCAATTCTTAATTCTTAGATATTTGTTAGTAACAAAGGTTCCAATATAATTTCCGAAATTTCTAAGGATTAAAGAACACCTATAAATGAAGTGATCATTTCCTTCTCCTTGTGGGTTTATTCTCTCTTGTTCGACACTTGGAGAAACTCCATATATTATTTCAAGAGTGTCCCACATTTCCTTGGAGGATAAAGAATTGATTTTCATCTAAGGACATAACTAGTTTTTTTTAGTTTTAAAATAAATTTCAATCATTCTGTTTTCCTCTACGGTCCAAAAAAATATGATTTATCTACTACTTTACCATTTACATGGTGAGTAGGGATAAACAAACTATTGATTATAGTTTTCCACAAATCAAAGTCAAACTTTGGATGAATATTTTAAATCTATCTTTTCATAATTCAAAACTATCCACATTAAACATAGGAAGTGTGTTTAGGAAAGTCCTATTGTTAACAAACGGTGTTGGAAGTCACCCTCCTTTTGAAATGATTAGTCATTATATAGGAGTTAAGATTTAATGCCACTTGTTGAGCATGTGGCTCCATACTTAAGAGGGGGAGTGATGGGGTGAATTGTGGAGGTTTAAAAAATGATAGTTTAAAACAAAATTATCTTCTAAAATAGAGTTTGAAAACATGTTAATAGAAACATTAGAATATGCAGTGGAAATCATGTGGAAAATAAAAGAGTTAATGGACGAGAGATAAAACCAGAGATATATAAAGCTTTAGTCTTAAAGAATTGACGTACTCCTCTCCCCGAGAACTTATCTTGAGAGTATCCAATAATACTGGATCTTTTAGAAGGTTAAGCCCACAAGCCCTCTTATACAAGGAATATGAAGTTTCAACTAACTTCCAACCAAGAAGCAAACAGAGGAATGAAGAGGTTATTCTTCACACCAAACAACAAACATAGCTTCGAGCGATTAGTCCCTAAGACAAACTAAGATTTTGCATAGGCTGATCTCGAACCAAGTTGGAGTTTTAAGTTGCCTATCATCAAAACCAAATCGATGTTTTACCCAGGCTGACCATGAACCAAACCGAGATTTTTACCTGATTGATCTCGAACCTACTATGCTTTTAAAGAGGGTGAACTCAAACGGTGTGAAATTTTATACCAGGATACTCTCTAATCGATAGAGATTTTAACCAGGCCGAAATTAAGAACCGTTGTGAATATTTTCACTAGTTATTCTTCACGAACCTAAAAGAAATATTTTCTTTGATAACGGAGCTCACGAACCAAACAAATGCTTATGCTAATCCCCAACAAAGACTTTAAACTGGTTTAGCTCAAAACCAAAATGATTACTTCCTAAGGAATAAGGATTTACTCAAGATGAATAATAACTCCTGGTAATTTATAATAAAGCCCTCACCTAGAAAAACTTCCTCATAAAACTTAAAAACGATCTCATAGCGTTATGGTTAAAAGTATGTGAGAGAGAAAGAAATATGTTAGACGATAAGCTACGATCTCATAGTTTATATGTTTAACTATGGCATGCAGAAACAAACCCGAATCAACAATCGTCTATCCGAACCATTTTTCGAAAATATCGGATTTATGTTAAACCGATAGAACGAATAAGTAAGATGAGAAAAACGACCAATATATTTTTTAGAAACCATGTTTGAATTTAAATCACACAATAGCAAACTATTTCCAATGAAATGATAGAAAAAAATTGACATAAGCAATTTGTCTAACACTTGGTGTGCAATCGATTCAAAACAGATTTTTATATGGTTTTGTTGATATGTAAATCCAATTAGAATCACAAAGATTGTAATCAACTCAACAAAACAATTTGAAATATTAAACAAAAGAGATTATCTAAATGTATTGATTGTCCTATTTCATAATTTATAAGTAAGTGTAAAAGAGAGATAGAGAGAGACACATACACACACAAAGATTTATTTAGGAAGTTCCCCAATCGAAGTCGCTATGGGTACATCTCCCCCGAATTCCATTTGGAATTTAGATAATGAAAATTAACCTTTGAAAAATATTTTTTACAAGAGAGCAAGTATAAATCCAATCCTCCAAACCTTAAGTTTAATGTTGATCATATCTCATTCTCTCCCCTTGATCAGAGCTCGATAAAGTAACACGATACTTCCAATTTGATCCTCCGGTTACTGTTAATCCCTTGACAGAACCCCTTTTCTTCAAAGCCTTCGCTCGGATGAATCCAAATTGTAAACGTTCGTGACCCAAGATTACCAAAGTGATCCTCCGGTTAGTGTTTCTCCTTTGACAGAAACTTCAAAGCTTTCACCCGGTTGAATCCAAATTGCACAATCTTGTGCTAAACTTCCAAATTAATACTTGATCTTAGAAGGAAACCCTAAATGAATTTATCTTTCAACCCCCAAAGATCTTTCAACCCAAATGATTACACCAAATCCAAATTGGACGTTATCAAACTATCTTTTGATCACACACTAAAAATGATTATGTGTAGTTGTTGTATGTATGTGTAGCGGTAGAAATATTGAGACTAAGTCATTGGATTAACTTAACTCGTAAAGATCAAATAAAAAGTCACCATCACACTTTATTATTTCCAAAGAAAATGGGAAAAGAGCGAATAAACCCAAAAGTAAGAGGAAGAGAATCTAGGTACGGAGGTTGGTTATGCTGAAAGAAGGTATTAGCATCCTAAACATCTACGATACTCCATAGGAACCTCTTTGAAAATTTATGTATTTTGACTATAAAAAGTGTATACAAAATAAGATGGTGGAGATGAGAAAATAAGTATTTTTTATAATTTTTGCACCTGCCATGTACCACCTTCCGTATAATAGGGGGTCAGGATACTCGTAGTTCACCTAATTTTTTTTAAAACACATGTGTGTTGGTTAATTTTAAGAGAAGAGACATTTTGTCATATCCGAGTGGAAAACATGCTTATTATCCACAATTAGGAGAAAGGAGAATTTTTGTCATCTCAAAGTGGAGGATATAACTTGGATTTAAAATCCATCACTCAACACCCAAGTAGAAAATAACTCTCTTCACTACATATCATAGAAGTATAGTAGCTTGCATCACTACAAGAATCAACAAGAGACTAATCTTTTGAGAAAAGTTTTAAAGTAAAAAGCCAAAGTGGCAAAATGGTTTGGATGAAGTTAATGACTTTTAGTCTTTCAAAAATAATGTCAAAGTATGGTTAAATTGATCAAAATTTGATTAAGAAAATATTTTTGAAAATGAATGAACCTAAGTCCAAGTTTATTATGAAAGGGGTTCAAGTTAGAAAACAAGAAGAGTTTTGAAAAAGGAGGGAGAAGATTTTTTAAAATTAAAGAATATAGGAGGAGATGAAGGGACTATCCTAAAGCATAAGGTAAAAGCTAAGGAAAAGAATGATCTAACCAACAAGAAGCCAACATTTGATATTAGAAGTCAATGTAGAATTCTCATCCTTTGGATTAAAACCAAGCAAGCAATAATACTAAACCTCTGATGAATACCAAGCTTCAGGTGAATTAAGAACCAAGCAAAGTCTTCGCTGACAAAAATTGGCCAGAGTAACAATTCTATATAGAGGAACTCTCAATCACAGACAAAGTATGAAAATCAGAATAACCTGCACATATAAAAAATTCAAACCAATGCCTTGGAGTAAACCTCAAAGACTTCAGAAGATCTTCACAAAAAAACCATCCATAGATCATAAGTTCTCAAGATAATCAGGCTTTTACTCCTAAGGTCCCAAGAATCCACAACTCCTCAGTGCTAGGGATAGGAACTAGATAGTCCAAGTAACCTTAAAGCTTTTAATGTTCAAGTTGATTATTAAGTGTATTAAAAATGAAAAAAAGAAAGCTCAAGTGAACAAATATAAAATAACATAAAATAAATGCTCCAACGAGCATAAATAAAAGACAAGTAAAAAGGTATGAAGAATACTTAAAAGTAAAGGTACAAGAAACATAAAAAATAAGAGTCAATAATTAGCATGCTAGTATATTACAAGTAAAGTACAATAAAAGGTAAGTTGAATGACCATCTTGAAACTTGCTTTTGAAAACTCATTAGAGGAT